GTTTTTGATCTTCCTCTTCCCTCCCTCCTTCCCATCTCCCGCCCCAAAGAGAAATCCATCCACCAATTGGGTGTCCGCCTCAAGTCATAACTAACAGAGAGTTGGAGGGAGGACATACTACTTGTACGAGGCAAAGCGACCACTAGCATCGTCGAATGGCCATACTGTGCAGAGCATTGCGGAACTGACGAGTTCTGATGGTTAGGCGTCACACACAAGCAGAATAAGCGACAACTCCATTTATGTTTTGGGTGGTAAGTAAGCTGTTTATGGTTGACAAATCACAGATTCTGGGGTTGTGTTGGGTACCTTTTTTTCTTAAATGACTGGCCAGAGCTCAAGCAATTTGTGCACATCTTGGAGATATTAAGGATGAAGTAAATTTGTCCAACTTATCCACCCAGCCTCTACATTCGCAAAATACGAAATTTGAAAACTTTAGTCTTTCGCCCCTACATTTTCCTTAACTTTAAAGATTGCATTACGACAGGTGTCGGCTGACAAGGGCAGACCAACCTTTCCGGACGGTTACTGAGCATTTGTGACTCTGGCAGTCCTTCCCTTCTGCGTCCGGAATGGATCTTTCAGCTCATTTGTCCTAATAGGAAACCCAAAATATCCAGGAAGGGAGAGAGCTCCCAACATTCCCCATTCTCTCAACTCGCTTAAAATCCTGACTACCAAACTACTGCATCCTCATCTACTTTCCTCTCTTTCACTAATGTAGTTGAGCGGGGACTGATGGCCTTCATTCGTTCCTCCATGGACGGAGCCAACACCACCTGCTGCTTCAACTACATCACCAACGGGTCAAGATGGAAGGGCTCGGGCTGTCGCCTGATGATGCTTCGTGAGTCCATGAGAGAATCTTTTTTCTTACGCACTTGACAGAAGGACAAACCTCTCAACTTGTGGATAGCTAAAGGGTTGTCAATCCTAGGATAAAAATTTTGACCATTCCTTAAATAAATCTCTGAGTTGAAATTCGATAAAAACTTGTTTTATAGTTAATGAAAAAAGGAGACGACAATTGACTGTGGATAATAATAACTGCAGGTATTAGATCGACTTTTCGTTGAAGTTGTCTATACGACAATTTCCTACCTCTCCTCACTTCCTCTCTTCCTTCCTTCGACGTCGGCGGATGGAGACTTCGGCTCTTATTAAGTAACTGTGGCCGTTGTCAAGAACGAGTATTGTAGCCTTTCCCTCACTCGGAGGGTACTGCGAGGAGGTGCAACTCACAGACGGACGGATGGGCTTGACGGTGACAAGCTCTGGTCGAAGGCCACGATGCACAGAGTGGAGTGAAATTTAAGTCGTCGTCCACCGAATACCATGGACAGATTAAAAATCCGAACCAATGTCGCACCGTTCTTTTCTTCCGAACCCAAAGACAACTTGAATGACCTGTGTGAATTGACAAAGTCGACAAAATGTGTCAAAATGGTACTGATGCACCATTTTGTTATAAAGTCAGCAAATCAGAAATGAGCGCATCACACTTAAGTGTTTCGAGTGTTTATTTCAAACCAAAAAGTCAGTCCATAATGAGGATTTTGAAAGGCCGCTCTTCTGTACGCATTCCTTTAAACCGTGCACCAACTTGTCAGTCAATGCCAGGTGAGCAGACAGGATTGGGAGAGGTTCAACGAAGTGTCGAAGTCCATGCGCTCCGCTTTTCCTCGTTAAATGCCACTTGTGGCCTTAAAAAAAGGACACCCTTTGGCCTCTACACCTGATTCGTTCCTCAACCACGGAGTTTGCCTGTGTTAAAACGATGGACAACTTCTTACTTTTCTTCTGGTTAATGGGGCTTCGATTTCAATCAAACCAAATGCACGTCTCTATCTTTGGCACATTTGGAGTTCAGCAGACTCAACATCTTAATTCATTTTACTTCAATTAAATCATTTGGAAGTATTGCAAGTCAACTTCGCGTCCTTTCCGGCCACGATACGCAGCGACAAGGGACGACTGCTCCCTTCCTTCCTCCCTCTTGTCAGTCATGAACTCCTGTTTGATTGATTTGTGCCTTAGCATGACAGCGTCCCCTTTGATAGCGCGACAGCTCCACTGCGTCTACTGACGGGGTCACAGTTTAGCCTACAGAATCGTAAAGCAGAAAATGAGAAAGGCAGAGTGTGGCTGCCATAAATCAACAATGAAATTTTCGCTTGCGCATCCTCCACTGTTGACAGAGAGTGAGTTTATAAGGCGAATTCAAACAAAATCCATCAAAGATCCCTTCAGCATTCCAAGTCTACCGCGTTCCCAGTGAGTTATCGGCCACATCGTTTCACTTGGCGACTTCCCGATTTTTATACTACTTCCTGTTCATTGAGAATCTTATGATTCTGTAGGTTTTGTTTTTTTTTCGTTTAAAACCCTTATATTCGGAGGTTTTCGGTTTTGCACAATCGTCAGCCTTTGTGCAGTGCTGGTGTCACTTTCAAATGTTTTTTCGTCAACCCAAGAGCCCTCTATTTCACGAGGCGTCGATCGCGTTTAGACTTTGACCATTGCAAAACGTCCAAATTTGTCGGTGAGGCGTCTTACTTGGGGAAGCAATTCAGTGTCGCCGATGCAAAACTAAATACTTGTCAGTCCTGTCTGCATTGGGTAGTGAGCTGACGATTGTCCCAACCCCGTGGTTGCCTTACCGATTAACTAGAGGAAAAGCATCGTAAAATCCACTCCCCTCTTTCCCCATTACTTGAAAATAAGTGCTAAAGAAGCTGTTTTTTATATCATACCCTTTTGATATGCCTACACAACCCACTTAAGGCTCATCTCATTCTCCCAAAGATTGTGAAAGCGCGCTTTAGAAAAGGTTTTTTGTTAAGCAGTTTTATTTTGCTTAAAAATCCAAGTTGATGTGACATTTTTGAAAGAACATGAGTAGTAATTTTTTTGTTATAATAAATGTAGTGTCCCGAGACTTCCCATAGGGTGGAAGAAGACAGTGGGCGAGGTTGGATACATGAATTCCGGAGAGGACAGAGCAAATGGACCTGAGCACGGCCCAAAGGCCAGCCCACGTGTACAAGGGCCAGACAAATCTTAATTTGACCACCAAACTTCAAGTCAGGTGCTCATTGGGAAAGTCTGAAATGAAGTCATCGCATGTGTCAGGCTTATGATTAGCTTATCCACAAGAAAATGGTCATCTGAGTCGAGGAATCAGGGAAACTGTGTGATAGGAGGCACTTTTATCCCGTTACCGCTAACATTGCTTCAAAGTAACGAAACTACTCTTTACTTTGTCTTGCGTTGCTTTACTCACAGAGTCGAAACTAGGCAAAATCTTGTGCACCTTACTTCTACTTGTACAAATTAGAGGCGAATAAGTTGGTGACGCGCAAATTCATATCACTTCTACCTCGAGTGGACTTAGAAATTGTTTACAAGCAAGTTTCTTTGGGTTTTTATACTATATTGTGAACACACCGTGATTCTGCTAGGACCTATGGCGCATACTTTCACCTCTTCGAGATAAAAAAACTCCTCACTGAAATTAAGGGTGTTTAAACTCCAATGCACATCAGTGTGTGGTTGCTCCCATCCACCAAAAGTCAACAAATGCCTATTTTTTTCGGCGCCATTTTTCCCATCGAAAGAGCATCGTTTACGAACGTAAGCACTGCAGGATGGTCATCTTTTCTTGCATTGTCTTGACTTCACATGACGGAGGAAGGCGAAAGCCAGCTAAAATAAAGCTAACTGACTGAATGAGATAGGAGAGAGACCGTACTTGGTGCAAATCTTCAGGAGTACGTGGAAGAACGCTCGCCTCTCATCCGCAAGGAAGGCCATAATGGCTGACATACAACTATAACGCTGCTGTATGATTATTTCTCTTTTTTCGTTCCTATAGCTAGCGAGTCCAAAGGAACTCAAAACACGGAGTCAGAGAATGCATATAAATGCGCACTAAATAATTGCTTCTAAATTATTCAAACGATTTGCTGCCCTACCACAACCAAGACAGGGGTAAATGATCAATTAGGGGAAAAAGTTTAGTCAGTTTATTAGTCCAATGTGCCTCACCTCCACCACTTTTCTCAAGGAATTGGCCCAACTGTTTTGTTCCACCCTAGGGTAACGTGACCTGCCTGTTTTCTACCAAACATGTGGAGTGCAGTGCAGAGTATAAAAATCACGACAGAACAACAAATGACGTTTTGAAATAGCCTGTTGAGAGACTTTCGCCTCGAAACTTAGGCATTTTGGTTTTAAACATCCCAAAGCCCACATTTCCCTTTGAAAAAACGACTGTTTCGTCGCAAGTTAAAACAAACCATGAGGTTAAGGCATTTAATTAAATTTGCATCCCCTTCGTCCATCACTTCAGTAATTGCATTAGTCTTCTTAAAGTTAATTAACTTTTGCTAATACGTAGACGAAAATTTTTTTGGAAAGGTTAAAAAAGATGCAATTTGTTAAGCATATCCGCAAAACGGTGAGTGTGAGTTAGCGAGAATTGCCTTGTTTGCAGTGAATCAATCTTCCTGCCATATTGTTTAAAATGATAAACATAAGCCTATTGTATGTACCACCTGATTCTTTTATGAGCGTATGCTCTTAAAACTTGTCTGCAACAGTGTGTGGTATTTAAGCGGGGGAATCACTTCTTCTCGGTGCCCTAGTTATTAGCTTGGCTCCACGCAGAATCAAGCGGACCGCTTAACTTGTGCACAAACTCACCATGACAACATCATTTTTCTCACCCTCTTCTAGCGGAACACACCCTTTGCACGATACGATGCACAAAGCGAACAGCTTGCTAGACCTTAATTCGCAATTTGAAACCGCCTTGTAGCCATTTATTGAACTCTTACAAACCGAGCAAGTAAATCCTCGCGCGCGTTTTTTGCTGAAAATCTTGATTTAAAATCACAGTGTTGGCAGCCCTTGAAGAGAAGCTTTGAAAAGATTCTCTTAGGAAATACACTTGCTGATTACGGCATGGAAACGCATTACTAATGGTACTTGCAGGGATGCAAAACAACTTGATCGCCTGTACAATCATCGTCTTCCTGTGCATCATCTCCTCCATCGTAATAGGCGCTATCAGCGTCCTCGCTCGCATGGTGCCTGCAGCTATGGTCAATGCCTTCCTCTACCTTACTGCCTGCAAGTTCCACCTCCTCCTTTCTCCTCAACTGCCCATCATTCAGGCGGTTTTAACAGCTTCACCACCAATGAGACCGAAAGCAACTCGAAGGAGCAAGTTGGCTAAGATGCGATCCCCAGTTTGCTTAACTACTCTTAACATTTGGGTTAAATTCTCTGTGCGTTGGTACAATTCTGTAGAATGTAACACACTCCGACAGACGATACTAGAATTTGATGTGCGCTGACGTGTAAGGACACAAGCTAAGCTAGGAATTTGTTGCTGTCTCAAGTTCATGTAGCTGTCTGGAACTTTTGCAGGAACTTAGCAGATCTTAAGGGTCGTTAATGTTGGGTTGATCGGTTTTGACAGAGTAGATTTATGAGATGGGATAGGATGGTGGAGAAGAGTCGAATCACCCGAAGAAAAAGAGCTTCCAGCTCTCTCACCCAAAAGTTTGAACTTATGGGGGTTGTCATTTAAGTAAAGTCAAATAATTTTTTCCCCCGATGGCACAATTTTTACGCCTCCTCCACATTCGGTTTTCTTAAGAATTTGATAATAGTTTCGATACAAAGTAAGTGATTGTTCGTGATTAGGTGGGGGAGGGGGAAGGGGAGACACAGAAGGCGATTTTCTTCACACCTCTGAATTGCATGGACTACGGAAGCACTCCAATGACAAGAATAGTTTGGGACAGGGTTGTAACCGTTCAAGCTAAGTGAATTCGTGAGAAGGGAGCACAATCTAGGCCACGTTATAGTTGTGAGCGGCATCGCCAGATACCATCGCTTGCTCACGTGGGTGACCATCTCCTCTTGGGCTGTGCAATTAAAAAAGTGGATCCTCTTGCATAGGCCCCAGTTGAGCTCAGTAAAAAGAGACTAGTTACAGTAATTTTTGGTATTTTTTCCAGAAAATGGGATGGATTCGGATGAAAAAGCTTTCTTGTAGTTTCCTTTCGCCTAATAATGGAAGCGGATCACAGACTTAGAGGAGATGCAACAACGTACGCGGGGGATTTTTACAGACTCGAGTGGCCCGCGAGTCCGAATTGAGCAAAGAACGGCAAAGTGTTAGACATTTGGCATCTCCTTGTTTGATACTTTAGGCGACTTTAACACCTTCATATAAGTGATAGTCAAAGTCACTGAAGATTTTATTTAAGTTGTAATTTCTAGTGCCTCTTTTCTCACCAAATTCTCAATGCTGTCTTCCAGTCGCGAGTTGAAGGATGCACAACTCCATGCAGTGGATGTCCTTGTCATGCCTGCAGCCTGCCCGAGAGGACTCTGTCGTGACGCCATTTTTGGTGCTGTTTGGAGTTAAAGAGGGGTGAATGCGCTTGGGCGGCGGAAGAAACCTTTTAAGCCTTTGCTCTTTCCATTGAGGCCAAACCTAGAGGTTTTATTTGACAGCGCTTAAAATACTTGCAAAGGGTTCGCTAAAGCGCCAAACAGTAAAGTACTTTTGGCATCGACTAAGGACTCCAGAAAGGTGGACAACAGAAAAGTTGGCATAATTTTCTAGCACCAAATTATGTCTGCTTGTTGGAGGTCGTCTTGACCTTGGCAAACAGGGCAGTCACCTCCGTCACTGGATGGTCAAGTCCGCTTGAACAGTGCCGACACGGTAATGAGAGCGTCACAGTGAGACCACTCCGTAAACTTTCATTCGTTGATTTGATCGTCAAGTGTGTTGACGTCCCCACGGTCGAATTTAAAGGCCACAAGTGTTGATTGTGTATTTTTTTTTGGGAAACTAAACTTTTTTTTAAATCTGGGCGCAGAGTATTACGAAAGCCTCTCTTAAGTGGAAGAAATGCAATCGCAATTTTTGAGGGGCACTGATGGGCTTGTGGTCACGTGAAGCCAACTATGTGGTCACGAGGCCTACTGGACTCCGCGCTCCCGTTCGATGGCAAAATTACCAAAATCGACACTTTGTTCGCTTCAATAAGGGTTTCGCGAGGTGATTTTTAAACGATTTTGATGAATGAAAAGACAAATCACTGTGTCACATGACCAACGCCGGAACTTCTTTGGACTCCCAAGGCAGGACACAGGCTTTGGCTTTTGTTTTAAAGAATTTCCAGATGGAAACGATAAATCGGAGACGACATGAAGGACGCCTAAATGGGCACTTGATGTGATCTGGTTATCAGGATGGAAGGAAGTTAAAATGGGCAAAGTGAAAAGACTCTTGTGTTGGCATCATTTAAAAGATGGAATAAAAAGTTGAAGGGCTTCATTTAAAAGAGAGCAAGTGGGTTATCCGTTGTTTAATGCGATTTCCCCTTTAGGCGTGTTCATCATATTCGCCAACTGCATTGAGCACATCAAAGTGAACCACATCCAGTCGAAATGGGGGCCCTGCTATCCCATCGTCAGTCTTCCGCCTGATGTGAGTCCTTTGGTCGTGACGATAACCGCCTTGGAGGCATGACGAGGCGTGTGCAGAGCATCACAGTCTCCTCTCAACGCATTTTTGCACTGTTTTACTCTTTTTGCAAACGATCCATTAATGCAGTTTAAGCTTTGACGCATTTGATTGCTCGTCTGTGCACACTGATGGGAAGCAGTGACCGAAGTGAAGCTCAACGGCGCTTCCGTTAAGATTCCCCAAGGGCTTTACTCACTGCCAACTTAATGTGGACTTTTCAATCATCATCACAATGACCTTAAGCTTGTTTGGGAAAAAACGTACCTTTTCCAAGCTGGGAAGGAAAGAGGTACAAAGATGAAGGTGAATGAAGGAATGCCATTAAAGCTAATTCTCCTCCTCCTTCTTCATTAAGTTTTGAGAATAGCATTTCTATTGCAGTAGTTGGACACACGCAGAGTAGATTTGCGAATTAAGAATCGAACCCTCACTAGTCACTTGACCTACGTATTTATAGTCGCTCCAATGACCTTGACCCTGTTCTGACTTTTCTCCCTCAAGGCTCCAAAATAAGCAACGTTAAAGTGTTTCACTTTTAGGTAGAATTTCATTGCTTTAATATTTTTAAGCTCTACGATCCCACTCTGATTCGTGTGCAGTACGGTTGGTCGGTGTACGTGAACTGGATCGTGGTTGGAGTCTTTTTGGCTTCCGCTTCTGTCTGGTTTGTGCTAAAGCAATTCCTCTACGTGGAGACCGCTAAAGCCATGATCTGATCTTACCTTATCTGACTCGATCTGACCTGACCTGACTTGATTTAATCTATCCACTTCTCTTCTTCTGCCACTTTGCCACGCAATTGCAGAAACAACTTTTGCTGTCCACTTTTTAGGTAATCGGTTATGTATTCATCCGTTTCTATCGCCACTTTGCAACTATTATGTATTCTTATAAAAGCGACATAATAAACTGTTAGGTGACTGGCCTTCAAAGTTGTTCTGTTTGAAAGTTTAAATGTGTTATGCTTTTGCAACAACCAGGGCTTATGAAACCTGCCAATCCTTGCTTGCATTCAAAATTGAATTTCTACTAAATTCCAATTTCAGTAGCGGTAACGCCACTTTGATTAAGCTTTAGACCAAAATTTACAATTAGGTGAAAATCTTGCAACTTAGGTGTGATGCTTACTCTTCTCAGTCTTCCATTATTACCCAGTCCATTGTATCTGGCGCCGACCGCACTGCTAGATTAGTAGTGGAGGCGAGAGCGATAAAAGGTCCGAAGTTAGGTCCGAAGCCAAATTAAGAGGTGCAAGCAGAGTCTGGAAGTCGAGCACCTGAACCAACACAACCACATCGATGCGACCATCTCGGAGCATGGACTGCGACATAATGGTTTGGCCATGCTGCTTAAGCATAGAGGACGCACTTCGTCCATCTGCTGACGAAAACACCGCTGTTGTCTCAAGAGTCACAATTTTCCTTTGCCTAAAAAGTCTTACTACTTTATTAGTTAACCGACACTTACCTTACTTTTCAGACAGCTGGTTCAAATGCACCACTTCTTCTCATGACACCCATCATTTTTTAGCCCTACTTACTTGACGTGATTAACACCTCGAACGTCCCTCCTAAATGTAGTAATAACTTTATTTGACTTAAGAGGCCCACTTTTCCTCAAAATTAAGTAAGTTGTGCCAGAACGCGTCCTTAGGTCGGCTGTGCATGTGCGCCAGTAAGGAAACCCAAAAAAGTTGTCCATAACTCGCAAATGATACATCGAGCATTGTTAACATTTCACTGTCTGTGGCGTCTTGATCCCCTCCACAGCATGAAGTGTGGAAAAGCAACTCATTGGGAGCCTTTGTGGGTGAATTCTCTGTGCAAAGTTGTCTACCATTAAAAAGATGGATGATCAGATTTCTGCTGATGTGACAAGATACAGCTGAGCTGCAAAAGCAAATTTATAAGGTCTTACGCTTCAGCTATCAAAAGACTTCCTTACTTGATCAGAACGTTCCTTTGGCATCCAATATTAGCTAAGACGAGATTGAGGAGAGGATCAAATGTTCAAAAGAAGCATAGTAGTGGCACAGTGGATCCAGAGATTGGCACCCTCTTGCGAATCATGTCGAAAGCTTTCCCTCCGATTGAATGCACATTCGAATAAGTTATGCATTTACAGTGACAAAACCATTGCACCTACTGATTCCATCGGTTCCAAAGTACATGTGACGACGGTTGAGATCCTCAAACCTCCAGACGTTCACATTTTGTACACCAGTCGCTCCCGCTTCGGCTGTGCGGCTATGATGTGATGTATGACTGTAACTGATCCAAAAAAAGTTGTTAAACAAACCAAACACTGCCCTTGTGTAGCAGTGAAAATTACATTTCCCTCATTCCAATAATGTCAAATGACAAAGCACTGAATGCACTACTTAAAACACTTAAGTAGAATGGTGATTGTTTAGTGCCTATAAAACGGATGGGTACTTCTCCCTTTCTAAAGGCAAACCCATTGTTTTGCAGAGGGCGAAGGCTACACATGCGGATTAAATTAAATTCTCTGAGTGTTGCCTCATACCAAACATGACCAAAAAGATGACTTGTGATGTTAGGCTAGTGTTATCGCCTTGAATTTTATGGCGGATGACTTCTGGAATCGTCTAACAGATGTTGTAAGTTCAAAACTTCCAAATACTTGTCAAGCCCTTATAAGATTGCATTCTTAACTTGAGGGAAATCCTCTTTGCGTACCACGACATAAGCCTCACTCATCACTACTTACTGTTAGTGGTCTTCTCCCCCCAACCTGGTGTCCGTCGGCCTTAAGGTGTGGGTTGTTGTCCACATCCAAAATCAGTAGTGATCGCTACTTCAGTGGAGCTGTTAATTATCCTCCTTCAAGCCGAGTCATCTTTGAAGGTAACAGAAGAAACGAATTTCGTTGCCTGATTTGGAATGAATGATGAGGGTGTTCCGAGGGCACGTCATCAGCATTTTGACCCAACCGCCTTGCTTGATGACCTGCAATAGCAGAAGCAATTTTTTCTTTCGTCCTTAAATGCAGCAGTGGAAATCAAAACTGATTACTCTTGGCTACAATAATGATGACCATCTACTAATGTCGTTTTCGCATTAAAAATTCTTTCCGAATCCAAACGCTCATTCATGCTAAGGGTAAAACAGACTTGAGTATTTATTGTCTTCAATCACTTGAGAAGCAGAAGTCCCTTCCCAACTCCACCTCGCTGTTTAATTTATCAAAAAGGGTTGCAGAAATTGGCAAAGATAACGAAATTTAATGCACTTGATGCACATCAAACATATTTTCCCTTATTAACGAGCAAAATATGCAAAATGACAAACTTGTTGGATGTGAGACACTTTTGACAACTCGCTGAGCACAGGCGCTTCCAAAAAGAAGGGCTGGAACAAGTGGAGCTCGGTGGAGGTGGCAGAGTCTCGTCATCATCGCGAATTTCGTGGCAATAAGGGGCAGTCTTGGAGGGCCGTTTTTATTTTTGAAAGGTTCTGCCATGTATCATTCTAAGTTGATAGATCTTTTTTTGCTTTTAACAACTGCGCAGCCTTATCAGCACAAACCACGGGCTTACCGTATTTGGCCGCCTAGACGGAGTAAATGGGGAACGCAAGAAGATGTTATGAAAACATTTTTTTGGTTTCACCACTACAAAAACTGAATTACCGATGCGGTTCATCCAAGTGAATCAAAGTTTTACTTTTCGAAATCGTCAAACTGCTAAGAGCGTGGGTGAACGCAATGCGTGAGTCCACAGAGCTCCTCCACAAGCTATGAATGCACTTTGGCCCCTCTTTCCTCAATGCCAATCGACCCATCTTCTTCTTTGGTGCTCCACGTGGAAGAGCCGAAACCTCCCTCAACGGGAACTCGGAGGCGACGTTGATGATGGCGATGATCGCCTGCGCTCTGCTTCGCACCTTGGACGATGTTCCTCACAAGGAGCTCCTTCATTTACCAATCCGTGGGAGTTGACAACAGTTTGATGTGCTGTTCTCCCCCGAGGACGTGATCCCGACGCCTTCTCAACCACTGCCATGTATATTCATTTCTTATGTATGAGAATGACAAGTTGGGAACAAATTAAGAGTGCTAGGCATTTTTATCGCATTTTTGAATGTTCGAAAAGTTACTTTTGTCGTGATGCAGACTTTAACATGCCGGGTAATGAAAAAATTTAAAAATTGTGCATAATTAAAACTGGTTATCGCTAAAGGGCACAGACTGCCACTTTTGGAGATGCTTAAAGAAATGGATGCAGTTCGAGTATGAACTGCCTTCTCCATTTGAATCCGTCTATGCGGTAGAGTTCTTAATGTCCACTCGGTCTTTCCTTCAAGGACCAGCGATTTCTGCCTTCCCAGGGTAGCCGGGAACAGGTTAATCCCTCTGCGCGGGTGTCACGTAGACGTCAAATGTCAATTGACTGGAAAACCTTTTGGCGGTTTTGTGCTATCAGTAGCCTTAGAAGGGTTCCAGTAGAGCAAAGCTTTGGAGAACTGTCATTCGTTGTCTTGACTTTTTCATTCAAAGGTAGTCGTCCCGTCGAACACTTTGAAGTCCCTCAGTTGTATAACTCTCAATCAGCAATCCAAAGACAGGGCCTGTATCATTGTCATAGCGCTTGTAAATTACAAATAGATTGACACAATTGCTATTTCCATTGCCACTTACATTTGCTAAAATGTTTCTCCTTTCCCAATTATTTGGTTTAATTTTGTCATTCTAGCAAGCCTCAAATCTTGCCCATTTAACTTGCCTACCTCTTCCTTCTGATTGGTCAGTTGAGTAGAAATAAAGTGTTGTATTACTTTTGCACAAACTGTTCTGCCATCGTTCGGCTCAAACGTCTTGTTTGGCACCCACACGTGCACGGTTGGTGCTTGTCTCAACGCCTTCGCGGGTGGAGGCGTGTGGGTCGTGTGGGTCACTTTCCCCATTCGTCGTTGGTCGTTCCACCTCTCCCACCGCCTAAGTCGAGTTCTCAAGAAATAATTTCTTCCCGTCCTCCCGCATTTCAGCTGTGCTCCTCTTGCGCGCAATTACTAGAGGGAGGAGGGGGCAAAGAGAAGGGATTGAGGACCAAGTAAAACCTTCACCTAAGATGCAAATGGCAGGAAAAATGCATCAATGTACACGTTCGACTTTTATGCGTTTTCGAACCATCTGTCTTTAAAAAAACATTAGTGCTCATAAAGATCCTCCAATTTGGTCCGCAAGACAAGTGGTTTTGGCTGAGAAAAACTACCTCGCCATTTCAATAGTACATCAAACCTTCTTAATCACGAGGCAAAGTCGGGAGGAATGGTATCTCTGCGTACAAGAGTATGATCCGCTCTCCTCCTGCCTCCGCTATTCGTCTCCTCGTTCTCTTTACCTTTCGGTAAAAAAAAATTCACACATACAGGCTGGAATGCTTATTTTTAGTTGAGTAAAGGAGGCAATAAGGGGAATTCGCTATCGCATTGAGCCAAGTCTGGCGTTAGGGAGAAATTGTTAAGTGTCCAGTGCCAGATGATTGTAAATTCGCTGCCTCGTGAACTTCTTTTCTTCCTCATTTCACACTGGTTCAGCCACTCACAGTACTTAAAAGGACATCGGCGGGACTGACCGTACAGTCTGGCGGCGGACGTGCAAATAAACTTAAAACCTACCGGAAAGAGCAACCATCGGCTTTGTTGAAATCACCCCTTTGTGAAATGTTGCAATTTTGAGGTGATGGGCCGGAGGG